CCTTAGTGCACCCATAGATGTGTGTGTGAGTAGCTAAAATATGACGCCTTCATGTGAATAAGATGGAATAAGTATATAAATGTATAAATAGTATGTTAATAAATAACAAAAAAGTAAATAATAATAAGAATAATAATAATAATAAAGATCCAACAGTGTTTGTGGTTGTATTATTTGACGCATAAATTATGATATTGTGCTGTGAATTTAATATATATATGTGTGTGTGTGTGTGTGTGTGTGTGTGTGTGTGTGTGTGTGTGTGTGTGTGCGTGCGTGTGCGCGTGCGTGTGCGTGTGCATGTGTGTGTGCGTGTGCGTGTGTGTGTCGAGTCTGACGCAGTGTTGGAAAGTTGTGTGGTTGTGCCATACAGGTGTAAAGGTACAGAAGCAGGTAAAAAGGAAGGGAAGGTACAGATATAGGTTAAAAAAGAAGTAAGAACTAAAAAGAAAAGGTAATAGGGGTGTGGGGTGGTGATTAACAGGTGATCTTATCTTCTACAAAACGGATTTAGCAGCTGTTTAATCCTGACGTGATCAAACCCAGTGAATCCTGATAAGAATAATAAATGTCTGACCTGATGTTGGGCTAAAACAGCCAGTCAGTCACTCCTCGTTCCTTGTAAAGTTTATTGTCCACATAAAGCTTATCCACCGAGATGACAGCTCTCTTCCCATCCTGGATAAACTTTTTACGCAGCGGAAAGAGGACCCGGCGTCGATCAAGCATCTCCTTCGGGAACTGATCATTCACGCTGAAATCTTTTCCTTTGAGCTCTCTTCCGTGACTTTTAACAAGATCCTTCTGCTTAAAATGTTCAAATTTAGCCACGATGGGACGAGGTCTTCTGCTGTCTCCTCTTTTAGCTCCAAGGCGATGTATCCGGTGAAATGTGATGTTTTTAACTTTTTCTTCGGGTATCTTCATTTCTGTCTGAAGAAAGTTCTTTATTGTTTGCTCGCAGTTCTCCGCCCCTCCCGTCTGCTCCGGCAGACCTGCGAACACCAAATTATCCATCATGCTGCGGGCCTGAAGGTCCAAAACCGTCTCCTTCAGAGTTTTGTTGTCCAGGGTGATCCGCGTCATTCCCTCTTCCAGGGAAGAGACGGACTTCCGCAGAGACGCGTTCTCAGCAGCGAGCCGCTCAACCTGTTCCTGGCTGAACTCCAGAGATGTTCGGAGGTTCTGAAACTCCTGGTGAAGAACCTCGAGCAGATGAAGTCGCCCCTCAAATCCCAGAAGCCGTTTATCTATAGAATCTGATAATTCTAATACGTCTTTCCGGGGAGATGAGGCCTCAGGCGAGTCCTGAGGACGGCTCCTCTTGGTCCCAGCAGGTGTTTCAGCCTCAGCTGCTGATTTCTTCGGACCCATGACGAATAACTCGAAAACTTCGTCAATATAATTTAACAAACTTTCTGAATTCTCTTCACTTACCTCCAGATTGAGTGAGTTATACTTACCAGATTATTTTTTGCGTTGTCAGTAAATAAATTAGGCGAAAATGTGTCTTAATTGTTTGTGGATGTTTGTTAACGAGCTGCCATCAGCTTCGAACGCTGCCGTGTATCCGGTGATCGGCCGTCAGCGCATGCTCACCTCCTCCCCACTGTCAATATTTCACCTGTATTTAAAAACATTGCAGAGCACAGAGCTCTGGAGAAAACATCATAAAATGCTCTGAAGCTCTTTAACGTGCCGTAATATTAATTTTGTTTCTTTTGATGGCAAGAGGGAAACCTGTTGATACTTAATATGGCGATGTTCTTTGTACCATCAGCATGTGCACCGTGTTAAAAAATGTTCATTCAAGTTTTTGGCAGAAACAATGTCAGAAGTCACATCAATGCATAATCAACACAGAAGCTGTAAAAAGTCCAATAAATCAATTTCAACATCTTTTCTATAAGCACATAGAAAAACTATGAGACCCTTCAAAATAAACATCTATTCCTGTTTTGTCATCCTGAAGTTGTGGCTCAGAGTCACAGCGGCACGGCAGCAACGGTCTCATGTGTCAAACCTTTTTATGTTGCGTGAAATCTAATGTTTTAGTTAGTTGTTGCATTGATGTCCCGACAGAGTCCTTAGATAAACATTCAATTAGGTTTTCAGTTATTTCATCATTCAGCCATTCAAACATCCCAACAAAAACCCCAGAGGTTGTGGAAAATCCCTTGAAGCAGCTGGTCATCATTTTATAATAGCATTTTTATTATTAATGTTTTTCTAAAGGAAAAGTGACAAACTCATGACTTGATGTTTAAATAAGTTTTTCAATCATCAACGTTTCATTTTAGAGGGATTTCAGTAAGACGTCCAGCCTGGCAGTACCTGACCAACAAGCTTTTCAGCGACACGTTCACCTTTGCCTTTTGCCTTTACTCCGTCTTCCAGTTACTGTACACGTATGATGTTACAGTTAATTTTACCTGAATAATAAAGAAACCGAGAGCCGAATAAATGCCAGAAAATTGCTGACCTGTATCCATTCACCATTAATATGTAATTATATCCAGGCAGACATCACGCCTCTCTTTGTCCTGTGGATTTCATGCTTGGTGTCCTTGCTGCTATAAACTTATTTCTTATTTTACCTGTGCAAAGTCAAAGTCCAATAGCTATTGATCAAGTCATGTATAAGGGCTGGCTAGGTTTAGAAAAGCTTTGTCTGGAGGTTTTTGATTTTAATGAACAGTTCAGTGGCTTGAACAGCAAAGGTTTCCTATTTAAATATATTTTGCATTGATTTCTTAAAATCCTACATCTAAGCCGGAACTGTGTGCAACTGAAAACATTCAATTGTCTGTTTAGTGGTTTGGAGTCCCGGCATTAAGCTAAAGTGCTTATTGTCATCACAAAAAGTTGAAAAGGATTCCCAAAGCGGCTGTGGGATTCAAAAGAAAACAGAAAAGGCTTCCTGAAAAATCTACGCCAGCCTTGGAGTTGAGGTTCTCCGGCTGGTAAAGTTGGGTTTCTGGAGCATGTTCAGGGCCGCGAGTCAAACACTTTCAATCCAACTCTGTTCCCCCGCTAATGAACAGCACTAATTGATTGCAAACGGTAGTGTGAGGGAAGAGTGGGCAGAGTGTGTGTGTGTGTGTGGGGGGGGGGGGGGGGGTCTGGCCTCAAACAGCATCTGGATCTGGTCCAGAATCATGGTGGCTCCCACAGTAGAGAAGCCCAAGTGCTGTTTAATACGGGTACAGTGAGCGCAGGGGAGGGACAAGCTCTGACCCTACTGAGCCACACCCCCGCTGAGTGTGAAAACACTTTGTGTACAATTACAATAATTCCTGTGGGATGAAACAGGGTAAGCATTTGATAGTGGTAATAACAACGACAACATATCTGCTCAACGTTCTGATGAAAGGTGTCACGAGCGCCACAGAACCCTTTTGTTTTCCTCATTCTGAGCTGATAATGAGCAGGAGAATCTGTTCACTCATAACAGATGTATTAAACTCAGCAGCGAGGCACCGCACAAACAAACTTCCTTCAAACAGAGCGGGTGCTGTTTCACACCAGAACAAAAGCCACAATAAGAAATGATTTTGTTTTATCTCCTAAAGGAACCACACGGCTTTTCAACTATCTCTTCTTTAAACTCCCGTTCTAAGGCAGCTTTATTTAAATAGCATGTTTCACATTCAATGTGCTTTATGTGGCATTATTCTGAGGTATGGTCTGAACCAACCTAATAATCCCACCCTCTATATTAGCCCGATGCGGGTGGTCCAGCAGTATCAAAAGCCTCCCTGAGAAGGAGCACCAGCGTCTTAACTGTTTTGGTCAATAATCAGTCGTCCCGCCGAGCTGAAGATTCTCAGCCATTAGCAGATCTGTTTTATTCCCTATAAACATTAATCAGATGTTTTTCTGGGAGATTTATTCAAATCCATCTATTGGTAATTGGGATATGTTTCAACCTTCATGGGGCGGACTCAACCGGTGAACTGATTGGAGCAAATATAAGCTCAGTGTCCATGAGACGGTCTCATTTTTAGACTTTTGTGTTTGCTAAAGTCAGTTAGCTGTCATGGCAATCATGAATCAGTTTGACCCCAAAAGTCAAGTGATTGTTAATCTAATGGTTTCTTTCTGGTTTCATTAAAATTTGTCTGGTGGTCCAGGAGACGTGTTGCTTTAATTATTTGGTGCCAAGTCCAGCTCTGTTGGGTTTTTCTTTGGCAATGTATTTGAGTTTGTTTAGTCCATCTTGACAACGTTCATGCTAACAGATTCAACAGCCTCCTACAAAACCATGATAAACTATGTTGATCCATTTACGTCCAGATCCCACCTGTTATAATAACACCACTTATCAGCTTAATAACGTAGAATGATTGATCATTTTGGTTTTCTATAATTTAACAGACAGAGCATGTAGGTCTGCTTCTCCCCTTCTTCACCTGTCAGCAGAGCTGGATGAACTCTGATTGGATGACAAACTTTAAAAAGAAAATCTCAAATTCCAACACAAACTAAATTATTTATTTAAACTTTTTGTTCCCATTGATTATAACTGATGGATGAGAATCGTTCAGATTGCATTAGAGGGGACCGACTGTTCTACTTCTGGTGTTTAAATCCCGAAACTGTGGTCTCAGTCAGTCATGAGCCCTCTGGCTGATGTCCCACCACCCAAAACCAGATGAGTTGGAGACGCCGTCATGTCTGCAGCACCTCTGACTACAATAATGTTATTTTAGGAACCTGCTGAACTCAGGAACGTTCTCACCTGGGCCTGCTCCCTCACCTGCAGTTCAGTGAACTGTGCCTTTGGACTGCAGGTGAAGGTGGAAATGCCGGGACAAACCTGGTTAAATTAAACAGGTGTGACTTGTCCCAGGAAAACGTGTAAAAATAAGTTGAAACTTTGTGGCTAAAAGGAAACAAACATTAACTGATACTAGCTGTAATTTTTGCTAACGCGTTAAACACAAATGGAAGAAGAAGAACATTAGAATTTTATAAATTTTTATAAAATAAATAAATAAATAAAACAATTGTATTAATTTTATGAAATATGACAAAATGTTGCTGCATTTGGGTGGCAGAAATAAAGCAGCTGCAGGGATTTTTTTTATTTTATTTTACATAACGTAAAAGCTGCAATAAAGTTAAGACACACGTCCTGATGAATGAGCAAGATGTGAGCAAATAAACAGTATTTAATGAACTGCATTTTTGTAGACATTTTTGTTTTTAACCCTCTTGAAACAAAAAGGGAAATATTTCAGAAATTCTTCTTCCTAAAGCCTTTGGATTTGAATTTGATTTTCCCCCATCTGTCTTATTTATTTGGTCTATTTAACTATCTAAATCATCATCTCACGGTCCCAGCTCAGAGAAAACTCTGTATTTTCACCTTGTTTACAAAATATCCTCCAGACACATTTTTCCTCAGTTTTCAGTTTATTTTATTCAAAAAGCAACCACTTAATAATTAGAAATAAAATAACGTCCTCCTAAACAACACCACTTATTGTCACAGTAATACAGCACTGAAATGTCAAATATCATATTTTTACAAATACTTTACATATAACTGCAATCGATACATTTTATTACTCTGGTAAAACATTTTCCTTTTAAATAAACTGGAAGCTGCTGCTGCTTCCTGAAGAACAAAACAGTGACGATTCGTCAAGTGCAAATTAGAGAGTTTGAGAGAAGAAGGGAGAGATTTGTTACAATATGAATTTTGTCTGCAGACCAGTGGAGATGAAACGTGTTTTAAAGTGCAGTTTAATGGGTAATATGGGGATAATATTCACAACAAAATGCAAGTAAAATTACTTTTTAATTGTTTTCTATTTATCACAGTATTTAATAGGAAAGAGACTAATTTTCTACTTTTCTTTTTTGTTTTATGGATCAAATATTTTTTCCTCAGTCATTTCATAAATTTTTCTCCATGGAGTAAAACAGAATCGTGCTTCTAGTTTTAACTCTGCGGGGCGTGTAAATTACTAAGCGTCACGTTTGGCCCTGACAGCTTAGACTCAGCTGTTGTTTCATTTCTGAAAGCCCGTAAATGTTATTGTTGTGGCTTTGCGCAGCTGCATAGTTCTGCATGTGTCTGAGTGAGAGGGAGGTTTTGTTTGTGTGGAGACAAATGTGATCTTGGTGATTAGCACTGGAGACAAGGGGAAAGTCTGCGACTGTTTATTTTTTATTCTATTCGCCATCATTTTGTTATTATTATTATTATTATTATTATTATTATTATTATTATTATTATTATTAGTGTTAATTTAAACAAGTCCAAAAGGCAACGATTCGCCAGCAAAAAAAACAAATCTTCATTTTGTTGTTCAGACACTGCTGTGTGAGACTAGAATAATGTTTCTCTCTCAAACCCACTAAAACAGCTCAGTCGTTGTTTTTATTCGACTCCTGGTCGCTCTGATCGTCGGTGAAGCACACGTCCACATCACTGTCGTTATCGCTCTTCTGCTCCGCGTGCTCAAACAGGCCGCCCGGTTTCTCGTCCAGTTTCTTAACAGTCTGCCCGGGGTGTCGGGACTTGACGTGCCTCTCTAGGTCCCGCCTCCGCACCAGCACCTTCCCGCAGAAGTCGCACCTGTATGGGGTGTTCCCCTCCGCGTGGAGCCGGATGTGCTTGTTCAGGTTGCTCGGGTCTCCAAAGGGCCTGAAGCACACTTTGCACTTGAGCGGCTTGTAGCCGGTGTGAGTCCTCATGTGGATTTTCAGCCCATATTTCCGCGAGTACAGCTTCCCGCAGTACAGACACAGGTGGCCCTTTTTGGGTTTTCCGGGCCCGGTGCTGCCCGTGCTCCCTGCAGGGATGGAGTCCAGGCGCGTACGATTCTTCTCCGCGGCGATCTCAGAAAGCTGCTGCGTGTGCATGGCGATCTCCCGGTCTATATTAGTGATGGAGCCCAGGTCCTGGCTCAGAGAGGGGGTACCAAAGTATGGCATGGAGTCCGGGTACTTGAGGAGGTTGCTGAAGTGAAACTTGAGTGGGTAGTAGGGCGAGCTGTACAGGAGCTCCCCGTTATAAACCGTGAAGGGCATCAGCGGGATGTTACAGTCTCCGCTGTATGTTTTCACACCGTCAAAGTGGGGAAGAGAGAAGCGTTCAAAGTGGAGTCCGGGGGGCATCTGCGGGTACCGGGAGGGGGACAGACCGGAATGCATCCGTGACTCCACGTGCTTAAAAGCGGATGTTTCCTCCACATGTGGTAGCAACGGGAAGCCCCGGATAGGATTTGCGCAGGGAACCATCTGAGATGCGGAGTCCATAAGAGCAGGTGCGACTTTTGGAGGGTGACTCGACCCTCCGTTGAGGCCCTCACCCATGCTGCGGATTGGTTTCATGCTTCCTATGAGTTTGCTGAACCCGAGCCCGCTCAGCTTCCCGTTGGCCTCCTCCCTGGAAGCTTCTGCGCCCAGGACTTTGGATAAGCCTGTAGGTTTGAAGGCGGAGCGCACGCCCGGATGGAAGCCCATGCTGCCCAGCACCGAGGACGTCGTGCCCAGACCGAGGAGGTGTCCCTGGTGTCTAGCTGATGTGACGCTCATGTCGAGGGCCCTGTCCTGCTCCTCGGAGCTACTTTTTTTTGACAGTCCCGTTTTGTTGAGAAACGACGAGGAGGAGGACACCGCCCGTCTGCCCGAGTCTGAAACGGAGGAGTTACTGTGACTGCTCCTCGGGGAAGTGGAGGTGTTGGGAATGTCTCCGGATTTTGGTGACCTGCTGAAAGACTCGATGCCTCTTGCCTGGTCACTGTGCACGTACCCCCGCCCGTTGCTGAGGGCGCAGTGGAAGTGAACATGGGCCTTGAGCGTGTTGGGGTATTTAAATATTCTCCAGCAGTACCAGCAGATGTATCGTTCCTCACCTGGACCAAAAACACGAGATTGAGACAGAGAATTAAACAAAACAAGAATATGCACATACAGTTGTTTATTTTCGTGCGTAAAAAATAATATGTTTTCAAAAGACTGACGAACCATTACCAGTAGAAATAAGGAAAATGAAGGGAAGTGTTGCCTTATTTTTTAGTGAAGTGACTACTCATTGCCAATTTACTAAAATACCTCAAATATTAACCGAAGTGAAATAATTCACATTGGTCCCTGCTGCACAAGTTGCACCGGGACACAATATGTTAAGATTCTGTCCCTAAGATCTGGTGCCAAATGGTAATGGACCCAGGGAGCCATCCAAATGACCCCCAGTCTAGCACTCAAATGATAATATAGATGTAATGATTTTGTAATCCTCATACGGGCCATTGTTTGTGACGCTCATCAAAAGGGCAAACGCCCTGCCCAATCTGGCGCTCCAGAGCCGGCGCATTGAAAGCGGCCCTTTCCCCTCTCTGCGCTCTTTCCCGTGGAAGTGACAGCAGCTGTTGCTTGAAATCGCAAGTCTCCAGAAACAATGGGCCGGCCCATCTGTTGACGCCTGATAATGGAGGAGCGCGTATGTCCAGGAGCGCACGCGGTGCGTCGGGCAGGAGATTCAGGGCAATATACACCCCGCATAAAAGTTAGCATTCATTAGGCCACAAAACCTTAACGCATCCACCTAATTTAGCGTGAAGCACTTGTTTTTGAATCATTTGCTTTTGAATACATGAATATTAATGACACCGTGACATTTGTTAACCTCCATCTCGCGACTGCACACCGCGTTCTTCTTCCTTTTTCTTTCTGGTTCAGAGGTTTTATTTTAATTCTTTCTCAATTATCAATTAGTGTGAATGCTTTTGTCTGAGCTGATATGATACTAACGAGCTGATTGGCTCTTCCAGCTCGAAATGATAAACGAAAACATTCAACTTTTAAAGGAAATTTCATCAGATTATTTGTTGATAATCTATTATTTAATGAGATTATCATCTGATGATCTTCCGTTTCACAGGATTATATATTAATCCCCAAATTAATCCCCAAGCGCAAAGACAAATTACCCAGACAAATGGATTCAAAATAAGGAGACTGATCACTAGGGAACACAAATATTAAATATTTATATGACAGAAAATAAAAGACAGTTTGTTAAATATTTGATTGAAAGGTGAAACTGTTAAATTATTTTAATCATCACCAGAATGACGTAATAGTGGAATATAGATTTGTATCGAAATGTTTCTTTTTACTTAAAATAAACCTACTTGTGTTTTTTCTATGCAGAATAACGTAAAAATTACTATAACAACAATAACATTATTATTATTATTATTATTATTATTATTATTATTATTATTATTATTATATTATTATTATTATTATTATTATTATTATTATTATTATTATTATTATTATTATTATTATCATTATCATTATCATTATCATTATTATTATTATAAAAGAAGTTGAAGAAGAAGCAATAACATCCGATGGTCATTTTTTGTTGATTAAATTTGGATAATGTCGCTGCTGCGCACTGATGAACTCTTCCAAATTTTGATATCAAGACTTTTTGTTGCATCACAAGGAGATAACGCAATACAATGAAATGTAATGAAACATGTGTAGTAATAATAATAACCATATTATTATTATTATTATTATTATTATTATTATTATTATTATTATTATTATTATTATTATTATTTACGGAAGTCTAGTGAACTCGACATCACTTTCTATTCATGTGTCAGACCTCTCTAGTATAAACAGGCTCATTTACCTTTCTCGTTGTGTGTGGGAGTAGCCGTGGTGGGTATGTCGTACCACTGGGCCAGAACGTTGGAGTACCACACACTGAGCTCCTCTCCTGCCGGGATTTCTCTCAGCACGCGGTAAAATATCTCCAAAATGAATGAAAACAAAAATACATTTACTTTCAAAACTTAAAAATTACAAAAAATATTAAATAAAATTTGATATTCACCTGTCCACCAGGTAAGTCTGAAACAGCTTCTAAGTTCTGCTCCTGGCTGTTCCTTGCTGCGCAGATGAATCCGATCCAGTCTGCAACGGGGCAGCCGGACTCGTCGACAAAATCCCCTCGTACTAATCGGATCTGAGGTAATGATAAAAAAAAGCTACATTTTGACCTCTAAAATAATAGACTCCCAAAATCCTGACTTTTCTCATCTGGCCTGTTTCTTTTCTTCTTTATTTATGAAACACGTTTAGGTAAAAACTTGGTCCGTGATGACGTGGAGGTGTTTGAGCCGCCGCATAGCCAGAGCCAGAGCGCACTAATGCGTCTTTATCCGCTCTGATGATAATTTCCTAAAAACAATGACACTCGGGCCTAATTGAGTTGATATGGGAAAAGAATTTGAGGAGTGTCAGAGCGTTTCTAAACTGTTCGAGGACATTACGTTCGAAGCGTGACATTTGACACGGAGATTGCACCTGATGATCCCCCGCAGCCCCGGGGCCACGCATTTAGACGCATCAATCACACGCACTGACAGCTTCCACAATAAAAGCCTGCACTTTTACAGCCGCTCTATGGTGAAAGTAAGTGTTTGGAATTTTTCACTTTATTTTACTCAATATTTTTTCATCCAATGATTTCCAGCTGAAAAAACTTCACTTTTTTCAACAATAAAATGTGACACAAATCACTGTTCTGCTTTGGTCACACGTCCATCCCTGCACAGAGGTTGTTTGTTTGTCTTTCATGCACTTTGCTTGTTAGTAATATTTCCTTGTAGCCCGAGGGTGCGGCCCAAACCTCAGAGGCATCTTTCTATGACCAGATTCCATTAACATTAAACGGATCATGCAGGATAACAGGCCCGCCGGGCGGCTGAGGGCGTCCGGTTCCGCAGCAGAGCCCATTAGGCCGGTGAAAGCGCACAGTGACAAGTCGGGCCACTAATGGAGCGCAATAATTTCTAACCTGACAGGCCAAACCAATTAATAAATCTCGGCTCAATGAAGTTTGACAGATCCGTTAGAGAGAAAAAAAATATGTAAAATCTTGTTTCTTCTGGGCCTATGCATTTTTTTAAATGTCGTTGAATTTTGATAAGAAAAACATTTATGCTATTGTAAAAAACGTTATTTAAACAAAAACTTCCAAACATTTTAGTATTAACTTAATTCTTAATTTAAAAATAAATGCATTTAAATTAAAATAAAAACAAATACTTCCACATTTTAAAAATAAACTTTTTCTGGGACTGTTTCCAACTCACCTTTTTCTTTGGCCCAGCCTCCTTGCGGTCCGACACGTACTTCCCCAGTTTGAAGATGCCAGGTACCGGCCCAATCCGGAGTCCCGCCGGGATGCTGCAGTCCGCAAACACACTGACGGTGGTGGACGCCCGGGTGGCTTGCATGGCACGGGGTGAGATCAGAACCATGAAGACTGATGAAGACCAGAGGCGAGAGAGAGAGAGCGCGCGCGCGCAGGGAAGGGGAGGAGGAGGATGAGAGGTAAAGCAGGAGAAGGATGAGGACAGGCCGATATCCGTCCTCAAAGTGACGCGGTGGCGTTTTGCTCTCTGGCTTTTCTAGTGATGGAGCAGGGTGAGCCCCCCCCCACACACACACACACACACACACTCACTTAAACACAAACCCGACCTCTCAGTCTGTGCAGAGAGGAGGGAGGGTGCTGCAGAGAGGTGCTGGTTTTTGAGGGGGGAGGAGGGGGTACGCGGTCCTGAGTTTGCAGGAGCTCTGGAGTGTGTGTGTGTGTGTGTGTGTGTGTGTGTGTGTGTGTGTGTGTGTGTGTGTGTGTGTGTGTGTGTGTGTGTGTGTGTGTGTGTGTGTGTGTGTGTGTGTGTGTGTGTGTGTGTGTGACTGTGAGAGTTGGGCTCTCCCAGCAGCTGTGAGGACAGGGGAACCGGGCCGGCCCGGTCACATGGAGACTTTCCCTCACTCCGCCGCATAATGAATCGCTCCAAAACGGTCAGACGACACAAAGAGACCGACGACCTTCCCATCCCCGAAATCCATTTCGTCAAGGCCAGAGAAAAGAGAGCTCCGAATCAAAGGTCCAGAGCGACCATTAATCCTCAGCATGTGGCTTTGTCCCGCAGACAGTTCCGATATTTTAACTGACAAATCCACTGTATAATTTCTCCATAAATCCTCACCCTTCTCCTTTATCTCCTTTCAAACCGGCTTTTGGGGAATCGGTGCTACTTTAAATCTACTTGGCCGTCATTCTTCACGCTCCGCGGACTTCAAAGGCTCCTCTCTCCCTCCTCCTTTTTGTCCTGAGTTTAACAAAAGGAGCAGGGAAGTTTGGAGGACTTGTTAACTTCTATTGACTCTCGGCGTGTGCCGGGTTGGGACCAGGCAGGTACTGAAAGGAGAGGACCAGCAGCAGGAGGAGAGACACTGAGAGAAAAATAACAGCACCTTCTCAACGAGCGCGCGCGCGCGCACACACACACACACACACACATTTGTGGTTTTCTAATCTCCTTTTACAGCTATTTATTCCGCAGGTTTCCCCCCATACAGCGATAATTAAATCACATAGATTTATTAGCATGTTTCAACAGTTTCTGACGTGCTTTTATGCAATAAAGACGACCTCGCAACAAATGATCATTAGAATAAAAACATTCATCTGAGGTCAAATAGAATAAAGTCAGAACTATTAGGTTGTAGACGGAAATAACGAGTGAAATTATTTGTTAGATCGTCAAATTTAAATTAGTCAGTTCAGTTTATGCAAATCACGAACCAAGGGCTCTACAGAAGGGAATTTTTTGGTCCGTTTTAAAAGGCTTTGGACAGTATTTCTTAAGAAAGAAAGAAAGAAAGAAAGAAAGAAAGAAAGAAAGAAACTTAGAAAACACGTGAAGCATTTTCAAAGACAGATTGTTGTTAATTGCTCATTGTAAATAAAATGCGTGATTGACTCGTTTTTCCCTCTGTTTCCTCTACAGAGGTCGAACAACTTGTGGGTGAAAACTCAAGACCGTGACCGGCTTGACCTCTGACCTGCCCATCCTGGCCTCTGGAACACTTATACCAGCTTGAGATGTGGGCAGCGAAGGAAGTGACTCCTTAATTAGAAGAAACGGTGCCATGACTTAATAATTTAGAAGCTTATTGTTATTTTTATCTTTATTTTTTTTTTCCAGTATTTATCTGGGTTCTCTCCTTCTCGCTCGCTTCTTTCGTTCACCGACGCGCGATGTTTGCGCGCGGCTGTGAGTGGTTATTTATTAACAGCCGTTCACTTACGACTGGTTCCCATCCCAAGCTCCCCTGCGCTGCTTTACTCCTCCACTTTTCTCTTTTCCTGAGCAAAGGGGAGAGGAGGGGCAAGAGAGAGAGAGAAGGGGAGACTTGCGGAGAAGTTGCTGGGGTGAATCCCTCTGAAAGGGTTCGGTATGAGAGAGAAGGCAGTGTTGGGAGCAAATGGGACGGAAAATTAAATGAAATTAGATGGCCTCACCGGCGGTATTGTCCATCCTCTCTTTTTATTCTGAATAAAAAGAGACATTAATTACATGCTTGGATCTTTATTCTGGGACAATATTGTTAAGTCGGTCCGCGGAATTCCGCAAGTGCGCCTCTCATAAATGAACTCTGCGTATTTAATGAACTTAAATAACGACCTGAGAAGAATCAAGCCCTGGAACGAGAGCGACGTTTTTATGGGTAGCCTCGTTTAGGGGGGATTTTAACCATCTAAACGGTGGGGCTCGCTGATTTAACTGGTTGTCCATTAATGAGCCATGAATATAAAGGAACAACCTGCCTGCAGAGCAGCGCGGTAAATCCAGAGAGCAATGCCCCACCAGGGATCTCCATTCACCGCTCCTCCACTGCGCTTCACCACCACCTCTCCTAGTCCGGATTCAATGGCCTACCATTAGGAAACTCTCTGAGCTGGGAGAAAACACATTTTTTATGTCGACCCATAAACCTTCTGTGGGTCTTTTCAAGAAGGTTCAATCATTGTTTTCAAATTCCCACGTTGGGAGCAGTGTTCGGTTTCATTTATTTGTGGCATCAAAAGAAAAGGAAAGAAAAAACTTCTCCTAAACATTGAAATCTAGAATTTTTTTACGATAAAACATATATTTTTCTGTTTCATTTAATTTTCAGACAATAGGCACCCAAGGTGTTGTCCATCCTGGGAAACCTGGGGAAAGTCGCAGGCTGCTGCATGCAGACCAGCTGCATGATGCGGGTGGGACATTAGCGACTCGTTTGAATAGTAATTGTGCTTGTATGGGACTCCCACCAGATGACATGATTGGGATTTTAAGCCAGACTAATATTCAAAATCGCATTAGAAAGAGGCCAAATAAACGGCACCTGATTCAACCCCGTTCATGCGTGATTTCATTCAAAATGCCTTCTTTCTTTTTGCGCTCTTCGAAGAGGGCTGGACCGCTTTGGCATTCAAAGTCACCAAAGTCTTCTCTCTCTCTTTCCAGGCCGTATTTCGCTCTCTGAATCTGGCTTTCTCTCGCATGAGGAGACGCGCATAAAGGCGCATAAAGGCGTGTGAAGTTGAGTGAATTGATATGTTTCGGTGTACCTTATAAATTCATACCTTTTCTCACTCGAGCGCCCCAGAAAGCAAATGTCAGTCAGGCCGATTCTCTCTGCTGTCCGGCGCATTTAGCAGCAGATCTATTAGAGCGCTTCATTCCTACGCAAATGTATGCAGGCATGGCTCTGTGTGAATGGGGCAGCGTGTCAGCCGACCCTAATTGGGATTTAGCCACCCAAAAGCATGCGCACAAAATGACAGAAAATGGCAGGATTCAAAGAAAGTCTCAACTTTTGCCCTTCTTGGGGAATATTTCGTCTGCTCGAAAGAAAACAGCATTTTCCTCTCAGGATGAAGGTTACTGACCCAACTGGCGTTCCTGCAAACTGGAAGTGTGAGCAACACAACAGGAGAGGCAAAGAGCGTGTTTCAGAACATGTAGCTTTGACTTGGCCCGTTTTGGCAAAGGGCATGCTTTAACTAATTGTTGTGTTAAAATAATAAATTTGATGTGCCTAAAATGACAGATTTCATTTTAAAATGTATTTTTTTAAAACCACACTCTTGACTTAATCATGATGAATAACGCAAAACAGACGTTTGGACATTCCTCCTAAAGCTTCTGCATTAAATCCAACTTTTGTTCTCTCTTGTGGGTGGTAGGTGCCATTTTTATTTTTTGTTGTTGTTGTTGTACAATTACATAATAAACTATGATAATATAAACCATCAACAAATAAATTATTTTTTTCCCTTATGGAATAGCATACCTGATGCAGGGTTTCCTAATGAAGCACCATGGAGAGCTCCACGTTCAGCTAACTTGTCATTTATGGACATAATTCGTTCTCATTTACATGAAAGCAGCCCAAACAGAGAGCAGACAGTCAGATTTGAACACACACCTCCTTCAGGTCGGCTGCACATTGATAATTTGCTGCTACAAAATGTGATCTAATGGCACATCCGTCCTGGGGCTCCTCATTATGTCTGCAACTGACAGTTCTGGGTCCAAACTAATTGTCTCCTCAGAGTTCGGGTGGGATGAGCTTGTGGACATGCGTCTGGGAGAAATATTGATACATATTTTTATGATAATCTTGCCAATTAACAAAATTATGATGTGGTTTTCAAACTGATCTAATGAAGGTGCAATATCCAAGAACTCCATTATTTATTTGGGGTGTTGGAATTACTGATAATTACACATTTTAAACTAATAGTGTCTTAAATCTGTGCTCCAGTGTATTTTTAAAGTTCAGCTAAGTTGACACATGTGAACATTAAACAAGTCCAGGCCTTCAGAGCCACAATCCTCCAGTTTCAGTTGTTTTCCTGCATCAATACATCTGGTTTGATCGCTGCATGACCTCTTCAGCTGGCTGTGAAGCTCTACAGAGGTCTGGTAATCACCAACTGATTCACAGCATTTGTGTTGGAGCACGCAAACATCTAAAACATGAAGGCTGCCCTCAGGGACTGGACACCACTGCCTTAAAATAAGAGAACAAAGGAACTAGATCATTTTATTTTGGAATAGGTTTTGGTGTAAACATATAACATCAGCATGGATGCTTTTGCTAAAACAGTGGTGGTCCAGCTCTTTCAGTTCAGTTGGTTGCATCTGCACCTTCTACCTCTTCAGGACACTGAGCGTGTTTGGCATCTGCTGGCCAGATCCGATCTCTTCCGATCAGTGGTAGGAGAAAAAGGTGTGGATGTGGATGGAATGAGGACAGGGAACGGCTGTGTGCTGTCACTCTGCTACACAGCGGAGGTTGACTGACTGATTCGTCAGCCCCCTGGAAAGTGTCAGAGCGAACGCCTTGACCCTCAGGTATCTCTGGATAAGCCTCTCTCACTCTTCAGCTGTTTCCCCACAGCCTCGCCTTTCACTTTTCATCAGGCAACTTCTAAACAAAATCGCACTTTTATCGCCACATAATCGGTGTTTATTTGCATTTCTGTTCCTAAAATACATTAGAAAGAGGTTTAATAAAAGAAAGACAAGGCCAATAAATGCTGATAGCTTTATTTGTGGCAATTAGAAAACATGAGGGGGTGTAAGGGTTCAGAGAGCATGATGAGTGCCGGTCATCTTTAAACCCAGTGGTTTGAAGGATTCAGTCCATACCAAAGGGTCACTCATGTTGTTGTTGTCCAGGCCAAAGGTCAAAGGTTGGTGACCAGACATGGGGTTTGGTCATTGCAAAGCTTGGAGGGGTGTTGCAATCCAGGGAAGAGAGGGGGTCAGCGGGGTATGCGAGTTACTCAGTCGATATCAGAGTCATCAGCAGCACCACTAATGGTGTAGGTTTGCTCCAGGTGGTCCATCTCCAGCACATCATCCTCAGTTTTCACGGTTCTGTAAGAAAAGAGACAAATATCTGTGTTTTTGCTCTGAACGTCATCAAGCCTTAATACTACAAAGTACAGCGGAACCCTTTATGAGCCGAGGCAGCAACTAAACACGAACAGTCCTGCAGGTATACGCTGCATCAGATCATAAAGGGTTCAGCTCTTCAAGGTCAGGTTCTGTTATTCTTTCTGAGTTTGAGGCATGAAATTTAAAGGAGCCCTGTCTAAAAGATACCTGGTGGTACCTTTACCTAATGAGCACTGTCCTTCTCTCCGTCAGCTCCACAGCCTGTTCTGCATAGGCCTCAGTGCTGCCATCAAATCCATCCGATCCATATCCAGTCTTGGCACCACTGGTGTCACTCATCCCTCCTCTAATCTGATTCATTCCACTGTGGCCTGATGGAGCAACACGTGCATCATCTACAACCTTTTCGGCTGTCCCTACGTTGCCTCCAATTCCACTTCCAGTTTCTGTAGAACACAGACCTCTAACTTTACTTCCATGTCTATTTGTCTGCCCACTAACCCTAACCTCTCCCATCTCTACACCTCCATGCCCATGATCAAATCCAGTTCCAGCTACACCCATACCACCTGCTGAGCTTGGGGTGTCACTACCTGTCCTCAGTGAAATTTCATCTGCCAGACCTCCGGCGCCAATACCAGAATCTCTAACTGTAGAGTTTAATTCTCCTGAGCCAACACTGGAACCTCCAGCCCTGGAGTCAAGACCTCCAGCGCTAATACTGGAACCACCAACCCTGGAGTCTAGACCTCCAGCGCTAGGACCAGAAATGCTGATTTTGGTGTCTAAAGCTTCAGAACGCCCAACCCCAGAACCTGGACCATCAGGACCAGTAATAAAAATTCCTGCACCAGAGCCAATACCACCAGCCCCTATTTCTCTATCATGGCTGCTTACCAAACCAGCAGTACCAACACTACTCAATCCTCCACCACCAGTGTGAATGCCCATGCCCTCAGTGCCTGCTCTGACACCTACCCCTCCAACCCCTAACTCTCGACTGCCTGAAGTGCGTGTTACATCTAATATGCCAGCAGGAACCGTCCCATTAATGGTGCCTCCGGTTCCTATCCTACCATCCAGGCTCCCAATCCCAGGACTGGATCCTATTCCTCCTCCAATCCCACCAATTCCTAGATCACTCCCTGCACTTCCAGCAGCTCCTCTACTAGCTCCCATCAGTCCACCACCCACTCCTCCCACAGCATCGACACTTCCTCCACCGAGGCTCACCCCAGCACCAATGACGCTCATGCTACAGCTGGTGAGGGACAGGGATTTCATCATGCCAGAGAGTCGCAGGTCTTCTCCTTCTATCAGTTTTCTACAATGAGAGACAAAAACATTCTTCTCCATCAGTGTTTATTCAAACACATAAAAATGAAAACCTGTGGTTGTTCCTATGCGTACCTGTAAGTTGTAATCTCTATCTCTAGAGCCATCTTGATATTCAGAAGGTCCTGGTACTCACGCAGGTGCAGCGCAATTTTCTCCTTGGTAGATTTCAGCTCCAGCTGCAGGGTCTCAATTCGAGCCTATTAGGTCATGAAATATATGTGCTGTTCAGGTGGACTTGTGTCTGCATTTGTGAAAACGAGATCATGTGTTCATGTGATGCCTTTGGTGTGATCAGGTGTGTACCCTCGGAGCACACGTTCACCTGCAGGTCTTCCAGTTCCTTCCTGTATTTTTCGTCCCTTTCACGAATCTGAGCTTCGAGGGCTTCATTTCTGGTCCTCGTGGCATCCAAGTCACGCTCTTTACTTTGGATCTGCAAACATTTGAATACATTTAAATAGTCCATAACTTTTAGATGACCTTTTTAAACTCTGGATACTCACATCCTTTTTGGCTCCTGCCATCTCTTCCCTGATGCTTCGAACTTTGTCGACATGCCTTGACGACTTTTTGGTCAAATCTTCAAACTTGTTTTTATACCATGAATCCATTTCCTAATAGTTAGGAAGAGAGCAGCGTCACCGACTTAATCCTAGTAAACATAAATGGTTTCTCTGTTGGTCAGCCTTACCTGGAGATTTTTGGCTGCAATGTCATCGTACTGAGTTTGGATTTGTTTCAAAGCTCCAGCCAGATCAGGCAACGCAAACGCGCTCTCGGCTGAAACGTGAGCTGAGTAGATCTGTTTCATGAGCTCATCAATTTCCTACAAGGAAGGGACATGGTCAGGATTCACCCAAATTAGGGGTGACCTAAATGTCTATGTGCCATCTCACCTGCTGATGGATCCGTTTCAAAAATTCTATTTCAACCTCCAGCTGCTCCAGTCTCTTCTCCAAGGCGATGCGGGAGGAGGTAGCTTTGTCCACATCCTGAAGATCAAATAGTATCATTGCTCAGTTTGTGCCTGACTGTAGATTTGTTACTGATGGGGTTATTAAAGGAACCTACTGGACGGAAGACCTCGATGTCTAACTCGGCCTTTTTTCTCAGCTCCATCGCCTCTTCATATTTGATTTTGATTGCCTCAAGTTGAGCAGCTGTGGACTCCTTAGCACTCAAGGAAATGTCCTGAAAACCAAGGAGCCAGAGTTAATATCTGTGACATCTGAAGGTGAGCCCAAAAATGTGTAAACATTTGTGTGCTTGCAAAAGCGCAGTCAAGTCACATCTGTGCATGAAGCTGAACCGATGACACCTAAACTCCTCTGCCTGCCAAGAATAGGCCTGTTACCAGGTAAAGAACATCGAAAAACCAAGCTGACATCTATCGTACGTCAGTGAGGATCAGCGAGGTGTCAAACTAATGTCTTACTGAGTGATTAAAATGTTAAGAAAAGAAAAAAGAAAGAGCAGGAAAACAGTAGTTCTGCCTCACCCGCTGAACTTTCATCTGGTCAGCAATCTTCTTCAGCTCCTTCAGCTGCTCCTCATACAGCAAACGAAGACCAGTTGGCTTCTCAAACCGGTTCTGGTAGGTCTCAATTTCTGTTTCCAGTAATTTGTTCTTCTGCTCAAGAGATCTAACCTGTAAGCACAAACAATCAGAGCCTGATCATGACACCAGATGCCATTCTGGTGTTAAATTATCTGGTTAAATCTGTGGGTTAGGGTTACCTTTTCGATATAAACAGCCAGCCTGTCATTCAGGACAATCATCTCCTGCCTTTCGCCTTTGCGAGTGTTGAGGAATTCCTGGTTCTCAGCTGAAGCTGCGTCCAGGTCAATGGGAGGCTCTCCGCCAGGCCCAACGCAGACTAAGGCTCCTGCACTGAAAACACACCGACAGCATGGGACTCGCACATTTTTAAAACACCAGATACAAGTCAAGAGCACAAAAATACTTTTTTCTCATACAAGAAAATAAAAAAGTAAGTTTAGTGTTTTGGGGTACTTACCCAATCCCTGCCATGCGAGACCTGCGGGACGCCGAGACAGCCCTCCGTCCCACTGACTCCACACACATGCTGCTGGATCCGGCTCTGGCGGAGTAGCCAGTGGAGGCATGGCGGGCCTGTCTCCTGGTGGGGGACGGACTGGACACCCTGACCTGGTAGGATGAACTGCTGCTGTCCTCAAAGTGACGGCGATAAGATGAAATCCTCTCTGGGCTGCTCATTGTTTCTGGTTCTTTGTTTACTAGAAGAACACTCGACTGAACCTGTCTGTGATAGATCTTCTCGTGTGCTCAAGCGTGTTTATGTTTTTATACCCCCTCATTGACAGTCGTGCTTCTGCCTTCTGCAGCCCCGCCCGGCAAATGAGCCAACACCGCTGGAATCTCAAACCTCGGTACCAAAGCGGTCTGCTTGGACATCTGTCAGCAGATTGTGAGGAGTAGAGTCAGGCTGGGAAATTAGCACATAGCACCAGTGTTTCCTCACAAAGCCAAATATAATTTAGCATCATTCTGATTTTACTGATATGTTTGCTTTGCATAGGTCTCAGTGCTCATTATCTCAGCGTCTAGCTCTGGACAGCAAGACAAGCAGGCAGCCAGAGATGGACTCAGCCCGCCACTGCTGCCTGTCGGTCCAGCTCTGACATGATCTTCCCTGATGGGACGAGGGACCTAATTGAACACTGAGCAGAAGCTGGGGGTGACCTTATGAGACTAGGGCCCTAGCAAGATTAGATGTAAATTAGTACCTATTAGTCTGGTCTGTTTCCAACTTGTTAAAATTTGACTGTGCAGAAAACAGAACATTGATTAAACTGCTTCCAAAAAAGGGAGAGTCGTCATTTGCAGTTCAGGGCAGATGAGACAAAAGTAATAGGAGGGCATGTAAGGGTGATAGGGCTGTTTAAAACAATTACTCACCTACAAGGTCGTTAGGTCAGAGAGGACATTTTTCACATACCTGCTACCTCTTTTAAGAGAAACAACAGAATGATCATAATCATCTCCATCCTCTTGAATTGATTTACCCTAAAAATAATTTTGACAAACACTTCTAATATTCCCATCTTGAAGACTTGGCAACTGTTTGGTTTTGCTGACCTCATATCTTACAGCTGTGTGTGACTTTAGTGAGGAGATGGAATATTTCTGTCATTTAAACAATCGCCCAGCTCTTCGTGTGAGAGCATATTACACATCTCATTCTCTGTTTCAATATCAATACAAAGAAACCACCATTTCCCCTGAGACATTTGTATAAAGGCAATGATGCCGTTTCAGTGAAGATGTGATTTATATTTCTTTTGTAAAATAAAATTTTAGCCGCTTTTGTATTTTTTAAATGAAAATTAAACCTTTTTTGTAGCTTTTTACAATTTTAATAAAAATAATACATTTCCATTCAAAACAATTCTTGGCAGTTAAATGAATTAAAGAAAACTAAATACTCATTTTCACATGTGGAAAAGGTTGTTTTTTATTTATTTTTGGTTAAGGAAAATATTAAAAAATCGATGTGCATCCATCCATTTTATTGTGCTTATCCGGAGTTGGATTGTGGGGGCAGCAGCCTAATTGGAGAGGCCCGGACTTCCCTCTCCTCAGCCACTTGGGCCAGCTCTTCCGGGGGATCCCAAGGCGTTCCCTGCCCAGCTGAGAGACAGTCAGTCCAGCATGTCCTGGGTCTTCCTTTAGGCCTCCTCCCAGTTGGACGTGCCCAGAAAACCTCACCTGGTAGGTGTCCAAGAGGCATCCTAACCAGATGCCCGAGCCACCTCAACTGACTCCTCTCTACATGGGAGGAGCAGCGGGTCTACTCAGAGCCCCTCCTGGATGACCAAGCTTCTCACCCTATCTCTAAGAGAGGTCCAGCCATCCTGCGGAGAAAAATCATTTTGGCCGCTTTTATCCGCAATCTCGTTCTTTCAGTCACTACCCAAAACTCGGGACCAAAGGTGAGGGTGGGAACGTAGATCGACCGGTAAATCGAGAACTTTGCCTTCTGGCTCAGCACTCTTCACCACGACAAACCGGTACAACACCCGCATCACTGCAGATGCAGCACCATTCCGCCTGTTGATCTCACGCATCTGCGCAAATAAATCAATTTTTACTTTTTCAAATTATGAGCCGAGTGTGAGGAGTTTCCATGCTTACCTGCTGTTTAACAATATATCAATTTAATTTTAAGATTATTTTACTCATGCATCTGCAAAGTCACATTCAAGTCAGTCTTAATGTCTCTGAAGAGTAAAAATCAACAAGCTGACTTCTGCTGCTTACACAAGCCATGACAATCTTAACCAAAGTGAAGATGGCTGACAGTTGTTGAACCATTGTGGTTCAAGTTAAATGTTGATGTTACAGAAGGGACAAGGTTCATGGTCATCATGGTAGTTGTGGCTGGAAAACAAACACATTGGTAATAAATCGTAGAGGAAGCTGTTAATGGCTCCTAGAGGGTTGGTGGCAAATTCATACGGTGATCCAGTTATTAGATATGATCCTTCAACACAACAAGTCATTTAGTTCCAGCAGCTGTCTCCTCAGCAAAACGCTCTGCTCCTATTTATATCTGATGTCTGATAAATAAATGTCCTCTCAGGTAATTCAAATGTCTAAAATACACAAACACTCGTAATATAAATAATTTTATTTTGAAATAAATGTAGGCTGATTGCCCATTGACCGCTGGAGATACACGAGCCCCCACCACCACATGAATTTACCCTTTGGAAGGCAATGACAAAATAGGAGAGCTGATAGTAATTGTGTTTTTGATGATGTCGATGTCTGAAATAAGAATTTGACCATTGCATTGCTCTAAATGAAGTGAAACATTTTTTTCTTCTGGCGAGTGGGGCTTCTCGTGCTTAAGTGCTGGGTCCCGTTGTTCCTCTCAGCTGGTTTCGACTGAATGAACTGTTATGAGCAGTGTTGCTCGCAGGTTGTGAAGCAGATGCACACGACTATAATAAATAGAGTAAATGTTGCAAACCAGAAACAATCATTTAAAGTGAAAGTCACAAACATTCTGTTACAGTTTTTTAAGGTGCAACTTCAAAACATAATGAGGAAAAACAAAAGTTGCTGTAACAAACCCGGCACACAGGATCTCTGAACCTACTTGTGATTAACCACACAGTTCCAGAGGTTTATTATTGCTAGACTGTCTTGGAAGCTCGTTTGCAGAGACTTTGCTCTGATTTATCTTCTATGTGGCTCAAAATCCCCAAATCACTGATGTGTTTCACGTTCCACCCACTCCTGCCATCCACCAGGATAATGCTGAACTCTGAAAGGGAGAGAAAATTTGAAAAAATGTTAAAATCTTGAGTTTCAATATTCACATATTAGGATTTATGTTAAAGTATGTGTTTGAGTTTAATGACAAAACAGTATTGGTTCATTTAATCGTGATCTTCTAAACAGCATTTTTCTTAACTTCTGGCCTCTGCCTACATCACTCATCTCCTGCACCAGTATGTTCCAACGTGTGCCCTAAGATCTCAGGGCACTGGCCTCCTAACGGTTCCAAAGGCTACAGATTATTGGAGAGCATGCATTTTCTTTTCATGCACCACTAATGTGGACACATTAACTCAAGTTATTAGGCAAGCATGCTCTGTGGAGCCAAAGACTCACCTTTTTACCTTAACTTATGCATCATTAACTCCAGACACATTTTATTGGTTTTTAATTTTTACATTTCATCTGTTCTTTTTATAATTTATGCATTCTTGCTTGAATTGATGTTATTTATATTGTTTGAATTCCTTACTGTTCAGTGCTTTGTTTGAAAGTGCTTTATAAATAAAATTATTATATTATTATTAACTTTGCAGTTAGATTTGGGTCGTGTATTGTCCTGCATGATAAGGCACTGAGAAACAGGACAATAAATGCTATCTCACACAGGGAGCCTAAGTCTCCTCCCTTTCCGGCTGGCTCACGGGTCCTCGGAAGAACGAAAAAATGAATGCAAGTCAACGGGGCTAAAAGAGCTATTTTCTAATCCGCTTTGCCTTGCGCCCTGGATCACACATGTGTTGAACTGCATTTTAGATGAAAACTAATGATGGGTGTTTCTACTGTGCCTGTCACGTACTTTGAGAATTATCAGCTTGTAAAAGTTCGCTGTTAGCATGACTACAAATCAGACATCGGTATGTCCCTTTTATGACATTACCAAAGAATCTCCTCTCCCTAGCGTAGCTGCTACTCACCACAGGGCCAGATTCATGGTGGTTCTTTCTTCCTGAAAGAAGGATTTCAAGTTCACTGAACTTACAGCCATTTTTCCTCTGCCTTTCTCCGTGTCTGGTTCGATGACTTCACTTTTGTGATGCACATTTGTAGTTCTGGACTTATTTTCACACAAAACCTAAAATAACGTTTCCCCTGTTTGAAAATATGTGCTTTCTTGGTATCAAAATGCACTTTTAAAACTCACAGACATCGTATGTGAAATCCATGTCACGAAACAAGCGGAATTAGAAAATAGCGTTTGAGCCCCGTTGACTTGCATTCAGTTGTTCATTCATCCGGGGACCCATGGTCCAGAAGTAGATGGGCATGAGGCTCCCTATAAATTAATCGTTATTTCAAATGGAATAATTATCAACATGAGTAAGATATCAGTCAGTAAACTAATCAGCATGAGTGCAGTTAGTGCTTTAATAATAGATTAAAAAACTTTAGACTTGCTGATGGGAACAGAAACATCACTCACTGTTTATATCCTAACGAGGCAGCAGTGATGAGGGCACTTTTGCTCCTGACCCCAGCCAGGCAAATAAACACAATGTTATCTGTCTGCTGGGGCAGTTCAGCATCATATTTTTCTCTGAACTCATCTGGATCCAGCTGTAGAGCAGTGATCACATGTCCCACTGTGAAGTAAAACAGCCACAGACAGGTCAGGAGGTAAAAGACGGTGTCTAATAAAAACAAACAAATCAAATCAGATCAAATTAAATCACTTTTATTGTCACGTCACATGTGCAGGTACACTGGTACAGTACATGCGAGTGAAATTCTTGTGTGCGAGCTTCACAGCAACAGTTATGCAAAATACAATAATGTAAAAACAAGCAAAATATAAAAATGGCTAATCTAAGCAATAATATATATAGTGTGTAAGGTATATACATTCCTAAATGTGTGTGCTAACTATTTTATTTATTTTTCTATGTGTGTGCACGTGAGTGTGTGCATAATGCGTATATACATATTTAACAAATGAATAAAGTAAACAGTAAAATAAGAGATATAAGATGAGTTCAAACTGATGCTTTGTAATGTCAAATAACAATAATGATGTTATGTAGATGTGCTTTATTCATCAGATTAATCAGAAGACATATATCATGACTCTCACACTTACTTTTAAATCATTGGTCAAATGCTCACGTGGGAAATTTAATGGATTTCACATTAAACCGGTCTGCATGAAATAAGTCAAATCAATGACATGCAGATGTTACCGGTGTTAGAAATTAAGGTTTTATTTTATAATGATAAATATTTTCTGTAAATTTTGCTTGCATAAAAAAATATTTGCATAAAATCAAGTCTGGACATTCAAGCTGGGATATTTCAACACATTCTTTTTGTGGTGCAATCAGAATTCTGGATTATTCTACATCATGCTCTTTTAGTAGGATGAAACAGCTGATTTGCGCTCTACTGCATCAGCAGATATATTAGTGTACACCCTCCCATCAGTACGATATGTTGAGTGAACAGCACTTACAGGGCACATTAATTGATCCAGGGATGAAGCCATACTCCCTGAGCTCCCATGGCTCCCTGACATCAATGACTACAGTTTTCTGTCCATCCAGGAGCTGCTTCAGCTGCTCATAACTCACATCTGTGTGTGACAGTTGTGACCCGAACCAGCGGACGCCTGTGCCTGTAAACACAACAGACCATACACACTGGTATCGACCCTCACAGCACAAGTTATGAGTCACTCCATGTAAAACTCACTTTTATAACATCGGTAAGTGTTGGCAAAGCTAGGCACGGAAGTGCTTCTCCCTCCTATGGAAGACCCGGGTGGGATAGGACTGCGCCACAAAAGTCGTGGGACGAGACCGGAAAACCTCCAGCACCTTCTGAGTGCCATGTGTGATCAAGATTAATCAAGATGACACCTTCTGTTGACAGGTGATTGCACACGAGTGCTACAACCAGGCTACAACTTACTTGCTAAAGAAAAAACCCTGTCTGCGCATGCGCAGAAGTTCGGGCCTTTGTACCATAGACTGTACATGCTCTGTACGGACACAAACAGTAATGTAGATTACAGTTTAAATGTCAGCAAATAAACGACACTTACAGTATTTACACACAGCTTATTTAGTAAATAAGTTATCTAAATCTTTAAAGTATTCGGGATTATTGATGAGCCAGCACGATTCTATTGAGCATTTAATTACTGAAAATGTAACTGAAAAGTCAATCTTTACATTAAACTTGACACCAACATCAAAACAAAATATTTTATGTATTACTCATCTCTTAAAATATATTTATAGACTTGTCTACGCAGTTTTTGTGATGAAAACACCTTCAAAGTTAAAAGGAAGAGTTTTTGAATGAAGTGTTTTTGAACTTTCTGCTTTGCCGTAGTGCGTCACATGTTGACGTACGACTAGTCGATGCTAACGAGTTTGACGAATTTTGAAGTCAGAGACAAGACCCAAAAGGCATTTAAACGACTGTTCTTGATCTTTGTTGCTATGTACCCCGAAATAATTTAATAAAGTAATATTTATTGGATGAAAAGTTTATTAATATTTGTATTAGTTGCGATAAGCTAATTTAAGCTAATGTAGCAAGCCCGTTTGCTAGCCAAGAAGAGTCTACAACTGATTGTTGGCCATATCTGCTTAAACAAACAACAGAGGCGAGCTTAACGGGTGAGTTTATACCGATCTTTTTTCATAATCTCAATATACAAACATGTTTGTTAAAGTTTTAACTGTTTTAAATGGCGCTCACTTAGCGAAACCTGACAAGTTTGGGCCTCCTATCACAACCGTGTTAATATCAGAGTTCTACAGTATGTTTGTTTAAGTAACTTTTCCTGTTACAGTATTTAGTCCTAATTATTTTAAATGGGTTATGGAGATATGTTGAGAGCCAAGAGTGAAAGCGTTCAGAATCACAGCATCATCCTCAATGTAACCGGTAACTAGCATCATCTGCTTTTGGGAGGGTTTATTTTTGATGATCAGAACATTTCACGTGACCTGACTGTTTTACAGCTGATAGAATCGGGTCAGATTTCTAATCTCAGAAATTGTTTCCCGGTTAAATTAAGGTTATGGCTGAACGTGTCATGCTAAAAGACGGAAAGTGATTGAGTTCAAGATGTCATCCAGTTCTGATTCCGCTACCAGTTTAAAAAGGAAATGGAGAGAACGATAATGAAAAGTTGACATTTTAAAAACGGAACTATAGAGTTATAATTGAATTACAGATTCTGGAAAGGTAAACATATCAGGGATTTTTAATTAAACAGTCTCTTGAAATTAACGTTTTTGACAGTAACTTTAATTTTGAACCCGTTTTCTGTATGTGTTAATGACTGTAAATTGTATGTGGCGACGGTGGCAAAAGAATTAAGTGTCCCATAGTTGAAATGTTGCAGGTTTGATTCCCGCTCAGTCTGCTGCTGTCATTGTGTCCTTGGGCAATGTGGTAGATTAAAACTATTGCTAAAAATGTTGAATACAATTAAACTCAAAACTGACCTAAAATGAAGTTACTCAAAAATGTTTGTTATTGTTCTTCTTTGCAAAATTTTAAATTGTTTACAGGTGCTGGCCAGTAAATTAGAATATCATCAAAAGGTTGAAAATATTTCAGTAATTCCATTCAAAACGTGAAACTTGTACATTATATTCATGCAATGCACACAGACCAATGTATTTCCGATGTTTATTACGTTTAATTTTGATATTTATAGGTGACAACCAATGAAAACATCAAATCTGGTATCTCAGAAAATTAGAATATTCTAAAGGCCAATGAAAAAATGTTTGTTTCTCTAATGTTGGCCAACTGAAAAGAATGAACATGAAAAGAATGTGCATGTATAGCACTCAATACTTAGTCGGGGCTCCTTTTGCCTCAATAACTGCAGTAATGCGGCGTGGCATGGACTCGATCAGTCTGTGGCACTGCTCAGGTGTTATGAGAGCCCAGGTTGCTCTGATAGTCGTCTTCAGCTCCTCTGCATTGTTGGGTCTAGCGTATTGCATCCTCCGCTTCACAATACCCCATAGATTTTCTATGGGGTTAAGGTCAGGCGAGTTTGCGGGCCAATCAAGGACAGGGATACCATGGTCCTTGAACCAGGTGCTGGTGGTTTTGGCACTGTGTGCAGGTGCCAAGTCCTGTTGAAAGGTGAAGTCTGCATCCCCATAAAGTTGGTCAGCAGCAGGAAGCATGAAGTGCTCTAAAACTTCCTGGTAGACGGCTGCATTGACCCTGGACCTCAGGAAACAGAGTGGGCCAACACCGGCAGATGACATGGCACCCCACACCATCACTGACGGTGGAAACTTTACACTGGACCTCATGCAACGTGGATTCTGTGCTTCTCCGCTCTTCCTCCAGACTCTGGGTCCTTGATTTCCAAAGGAAATGCAGAACTTGCTTTCATCAGAAAACATAACTTTGGACCACTCAGCATCAGTCCAGTCCTTTTTGTCCTTGGCCCAGGCGAGACGCTTCTTGCGCTGTTTCTTGTTCAAGAGTGGCTTGACACACGGAATGCGACACCTGAATCCCATGTCTTTCATGAGTCTCCTCGTGGTGGTTCTTGAAGCGCTGACTCCAGCTGCAGTCCACTCTTTGTGGATCTCCCCCACATTTTTGAATGGGTTTGTCGTCACAATTCTCTGCAGGGTGCGGTTATCCCTAGAGCTTGTACACTTTTTTCTACCACATTTTTTCCGTCCCTTCGCCTGTCTGTTAATGTGCTTGGACACAGAGCTCTGCGAACAGCCAGCTTCTTTAGCAATCACCTTTTGTGTCTTGCCCTCCTTGTGCAAGGTGTCAATGATTGTCTTTTGGACAGCTGTTAAGTCAGAAGTCTTCCCCATGATTGTGGTGCCTTCAAAACAAGACTGAGGGACCTTTTAAAGGCCTTTGCAGGTGTTTTGAGTAAATCAGCTGATTAGAGTGGCAGCAGGTGTCTTCTATATTCAGCCTTTTCAGAATATTCTAATTTTTTGAGATACCAAATTTGGAGTTTTCATTAGTTGTCACTTATGAATATCAAATTTAAATGTAATGAACATTGGAAATACATTGGTCTGTGTGCATTGCATGAATATAATGTACAAGTTTCACGTTTTGAATGGAATTACTGAAATATTTTCAACCTTTTGATGATATTCTAATTTACTGGCCAGCACCTGTATATTGGGATAATCTTTATGGTTTTTGGCAAATTAGTTAAAAAGTTAATTTCAGGAAACAGTGCTTTAAAGAAGTAATCTTACTTCTATTCCTTCTTTCAGAGCTCCAGATGCGGCTAAAAGATCCTTTTTCTTTGAAAGCCGCCGAAATGACTAAGCGGACTAATAAGCCGCGGAAACCTCGAGATGAGGAGTCATCAGATGAAGTCAGCGGTAAGTCGGAACCACTGATACCAGAAAGTTTATGTGACTTGACCTTTTTGTGTTAACACACAACAACCCACCTAACATTGGGACCACTAGGGCTTGTGCAATATACACTCATTGGCCACATTATTGGGTACACCTTGCTAGTACCAGGTTGGACCCTCTTTTGCCTTCAGAACCGTCTTAATCCTTTGTGGCATAGATTCAACAAGGTCCTGGAAACATTCCTCCGAGATTTTGGTCCATATTGACATGATAGCATCACACAGTTGCTGCAGATTTGTCAGCTGCACATCCATGATGCAAATCCCCCGTTCCACCACATCCCAAAGGTGCTATATTGGATTGAGACCTGGTGACTTTGGAGGCCATTTGAGTACAGGTTCAAGAAACCCATCTGAGATGATTAGAGCTTTATGACATTGCACATTATCCTGATGAAAGTAGCCATCATATGGGTACACTATGGTCATAAAGGGATGGCCATGGTCAGCAACAATACTCAGGTAGGCTGTGGCGTTACAATGATGATCAATTAGTTGTAAAGGACCCAAAGTGTGCCAAGAAAATGTCCCCCACACCATTACACCACCACCAGCAGCCTGATCTGTTGATTCAAGGCAGAATGGATATATGCTTTCATGTTGTTGGATCCAAATTCTGATCCTACCCTCCAAATGTCGCAGCAGAAATTAAGACTCATCAGACCAGGCAACATTTTTTCAATCTTCTATTGTCCAATTTTGGTGAGCCTGTGCAAATTGTAGCCTCAGTTTTCTGTTCTTAGCTGACAGGTGTGGCACCCGGTGTGGTCTTCTGCTGCTGTAACCCATCTGCCTCAAGGTTCAACATGTTATGCATTCAGAGATGCTCTTGGGTGTAACAAGTGGTTATTTGAGCTACTGTTGCCTTTCTATTAGCTCAAACCAGTCTGGCCATTCTCCGGCATCAATCAATCAATCAATCAATCAAAGCTTTATTTATAAAGCGCCTTAAGCGACCCTGTTGGGAAGCCCAAGGCGCTGGCATCAACAAGGCATTTTTGCCCACAAAACTGATGCTCACTGGATGTTTTCTCTTTCCCTTTTTTGGACCACTCTCTGTAAACCCTAGAGATGGTTGTGCGTGATAATCCCAGAAGATCAGCAGTTTTTGAAATACTAAGACCAGCCCATCTGGTATCAACAACATGCCACATTCAAAGTCACTTAAATCACCTTTCTTCGCTTGGTTGGAACTTCAGCAGATCATCTTGGTCTTGACTAGCCTGGCCTGCCTGACTCGTCCTCTGTTTAATTCTGCACGGAGAAAAGTCTCGTTACTCACAGGCAGAGAGACACATAGGGGCGGAACTAGCCTGCTCTCAAATAACCAATCAGAAAAAAGACTGAGCTGCAGACTGTACCACGTGACACTGTAGTTTTTAGCTGCAGTCAAAAATGGCGTCTGGCGATAGCGCAAACATATTTCTTTAGAAGAAAGGCTTTTAGCGCTTCTACTTGTTGTTTTAAAGACGTGTTCAAGTCATTTAGAACAGAGGAAAGAGCCGCAGCGAACTCCGTTTCAGTCGCCATGTTTATGACAAACTCTACGTTATTGTGTGTGACGTACGCTACTCAGCGCTGATTGGTTCGGTTCGAATTCTCACGGGGTGGGGTTGTTTGAATAGGAGAGTTCCCAGACCCTTTCTCTGTGCAGAGTTAAACAGAGGAGGAGTCTGGCAGGCCAGGCTACGCCTTAACCATGTCAATTCAGTTTATTTATATAACGTCAAATCACGACATGACAAGAGTCATCTCAAGGAACTAAATGCCTAAATGCATTGAGTTGCCGCCATGTGATTGGCTGATTTGTAATTTGCATTAGCAAGCAGTTGGACAGGTGTGTAATGTGGCCAGTGAGTGTAGCTCAAAATGATCATCTTCACAATATTAAGGAAGAACAATATTAATATGGAAAAGAACTGATTGAAATGCAAAAAATAAGAGATTGGTATATTTCAAGCGATGTACATTTGCATGTTCTGGTGGACACTTGGCTGCCCTTGATGACCAAATCTGCTTTAGAACATTGTGGCCAAAATGTGAAAATATGTAGAAATGATGTCTGAGTTTCACTTTCTGAAATGTTTGACAAGAAGTGTTGAACCTTTTCATAATTTTTGCATTTTTGAGACGGATGTTTGAGCACCCTTTAATTACAAAAAGTAAGTTTTTGTCTTTCTTATTGTCGTAAGAACTTATGTGTACAATTCAAATGATAAATGGCCTGGACTTGTAAAGCTCTTTTCTGAGTCAGAGGACTCCAAAGCGCTTTATGCTAGTCATTCTCCTGTTCACAAACACTGATGATGATGAGCTACATTAAAGCCACAGCTGCCCTGGGGCACACTGACAGAAGTTTATGGGTTGTTTTTTTTAAGGACTGACCTGCCAACACGTGAATAAAGCAGTGGACCTGAGCTCAGTGAAGAAGTCAGTCCTCTCCAGCATGTGGTCCATGTGCACCGACTGCCTGAAGGAAAGGACGATGATCGACGGAGAGCCAGCAGCGTCCCACGACATCTTAGTGTGCTTAAAGTGCGGTTTTCAAGTAAGATTTGATTTTGTGTCATTTAACGGCTCAAACACTGACTCTAGGTCAGGAATATCTAGCAATATATAGGGATGTCCCGATCAGGTCTTTTTGCCCTCGAGTCAGAGTCCGAGTCATTTGACTTTGAGAATCTGCCGATAACGAGTCCCGATCCGATACTTTTAATACATAAAAAAATAATTAAGAAAGCGAAGAAACAGATCCAGAATGTAATTACCTTTATGTTAACATTTAACAACTCTGTTAACAAACAGATCACTTCTGTGAGGTAGCTTGAACAATCAAGTAATAAATAACATGCATCCTTCACTTTTGGACTTCATTGCAAATATAAACGTAATATAAAAACAAATGGCACCTCAACTTAAAATACCTGGCAGGGGTCTATTTTGCCTTGACCCCCAAATGCCTTGATACGTCCCTGCGTGTGGGACTGAGTTTTGAAGATGATCTGAATTAGGGCTGCAACAACGAATCGATAAATTCGATGAAAATCGATTACTAAAAGTGTTGGCAACGAATTGCGTCATCGATTCGTTGTGTCGCACAACTCTTCCAAAAGCGCCCCCCCTTCCCGCCCGCCGTTGCGCGCAGACCAGAGCAAGTCAGATCAGCGCGAGGGAGAGCCGCAGATCAGCGCGAGGGAGAGCCGGCAGATCAGCGAGAGGGAGAGCCGCAGATCAGCGCGAGGGAGAGCCGCAGATCAGCGTGGGAGAGCCGCAGATCAGCGCGAGGGAGAGCCGGCAGACTTGCGCTGCTGCGAACCGGTTCCGCATTGTTGCGCAGCGATCCAGGCAGCTGCTTCCACCAGCGCACGGTCCATTCTCAAAGTGGCGCAACCAAAAAACTATAATTAGCACACGATCGTTCATGTCCGCACATGTTCTCTATTTTCTGTCTTATTTGTGCCTGAAGCGCGCTACTGCGGAGCTCATCACCTGTGCTGTGATGATGTCACCTCACGCAGCATCGAAAACGCGCTCTGCGCTTTCCGGTCAGGAGATCCCTTTGATCTACTCAAAAGTAACTGATGAGGTTAAAAGGTTAGAATCCAGGCAGCAGATTTTCTGGAGAATTAAGAGGAGATGCAGGAAGATGAGAGACAGACAGGACAGGAAAATAGTTAAATAAAAACAAGAAAACAAAACAAAGTGTTGAAAAGTCAAATGTAGGTAGATTTATCTCCACTACACGTTTTTACCAGTAAAAAACAATAAGTTATACACATGTTATATTTATACATCTGATACAATTCAGATCACCTTCAAAACTCAGTCACACACCCAGGGCCGTTTCAAGACATTTTGGGGGCCAAGGCAAAATGCCCCCCCCCCACCCCATAACTGGGCTCCCCAGAAGCCTCTGTGTAATTCATGCCCTCTCCAGTAGTGTTAGTTATACGGTGTTTATAAAAGCCCCTTAGACATTACTGACATGTTCTAATATTATCAGATGAAAAACTAAATTATCAGGCATGCTGTCTCATCTGCTGCTTTTCTAAACTTGCAAAAAGTAACAAAACCATTTGAAAGCCACTATTTGTGGATTCTCTGAAAGTTTCCATGGAGTGTGTGACAACTTATTTTTTCATTGATCCTATCGTCTAATCTCACAGCTGAAACAAGCATCCTGAATAATCTGTGCACAGGAAGCTTACCAATGCTGTAGTAAAACAAAAGGTATAATAATTTATTATTAATAAAATCTTGTTGCAGCACTAAAGCAGAAAAATTAGATTTTGCATTAAATATGCAAAATATTTACATATGAATTGTTTTAGAGCCCTTTAATTGGCAGAATCTGATATTAATTTAGTTCTTACAAAAAATGGGTCCCAACATGGTTTGTGTGGCGTTGCCATAGTGTGACATCATAGGCACAGATCCCCTGTCCTCTTGTTTGGAAATGGAAATATGGTCACCCTACATTAAACAAACTGTCCACCCGGGCTTTTGCGCTGCACAGAGACGCTTCGCTGCCTATGACTTTGAACGTCAGTTGAGAGTCAGTCTCATGCAGACTGACCAATGAAGAGAGGGCCTCAAGTTAAGACCCTCTCCTCATTGGTCAGTCCACACGAGGTGGGTCAAAGGTTACTCTGGGCGGGTTACGTGTTGTCAGGCATTCAAGTATTGAGTATATTTACTGCATATTACAGTAAAATATTCTGTATGTGACCACATTATGGTGATCCTCGGGTCGTGATGATGGAGCCCTTGAATATTGTTGCCCAGGGTACAACAAAGTGTTAATCTGGCCCTGGTTCCGCCGTCACATTCCCGCAGAAACTGGTTGATCACACCGGGGCCAGACTACTAGCATGTGGCTTTACAACCACAATGTCCTCAGAAGCAAAAACGCTTTTAAAAGGGAGGGAGGAGTCCTAACTGTTGCTGCAGGCGTGTTGTGTGAGAGTGCAGTTATATACTGGTTAATATATTTTTGGGTTCAGTTGCTTTCATGTGGCCTAATGTGAGTCTATTTGGGATCATTGGAATGATCAGCAGCATTTCTTGATGTGACTTTATGGCAGTTGCCCAGGGCATCATCGCAAGGAGGATGGCATTCATTTACTTTTGTTTTATTTGGTATTTTTTCAGTCATTTTTGGAAATAGTGATCAATTTTGATTAATTCACAGCCTATGTTTAATTACATTTAAAATAAATGTGAACAGATGAGATCAAACAAAACAGATGAGAATTGCCCTTAAGCTGTTTAACTTGGACCAAGCATTTTAGGTCACAGATAGATGTAGCTTAGGGTCTCTGTCTATACACCTTATAAGACAATTTAGGTGATGGCATGTTGTTTTTCTGCTATTGAACTGTTTTCTAATAATGTTGTGTTAAATAAAGTGAAGGAAGGAGAGAAATAACGTTTCCCTAGCAGTTTTTAAAAATGTCCCCATGTAATCCGATTAATCGATTAATCGTGTCGAGACCCCATCCGATTAATCGATTATCCAAATAATAGTTTGTTGCAGCCCTAGTGATTTTCATTATTTATCACATTTATGTGACATGCAAACACCAAATGGTCATTGTGAATATTTTAATCAATCAATCAAATGTATTGATAGAGCGCTTTACACAGCCAATAGAGGCGACCAAAGTACTTCACAATGAGACACTAAAATCAGTTCACCAAAATAGCAATAAAAACAAATAAAAGCAAAATAAATACACTAACTAGGTAAAAGAACTCAATAAGACCAAAGTAAGAAGTTTGGGGACCTCTGGAGATTAAAAGCCCGTTTAGTATTATTCATGATTTCTGAATTAACTGTCTTACAGGGCTGTAACCAGTCAGGGGTCCAGCATGCCATCAGACATCACCAGGCTTTTCATCCGGAGTCACACTGCATCACAATCAGCCTGATCACATGGAAGGCCTGGTGAGAAACTACCAACTAAAACTGTAACATTTTAAAAAGACGTGTTAAGCTTTTGCCTTGTGTGAACTTATCAAAACAGCAGCCTTACGGCTCTTGGACACGTCATTCTTAAATGGTTGTATTTTATTTTTAATGATTAAATTATAATATATGACTTGGTGCTAAAGCTCATCAGACGTGAGTTGTTTTCTTTTTTGCTTCAGCAATTTTGTGGTTAAATCACAACATGTTTCATGGTCAGATTCTGGAAAGGTATTTATCTATATCCATGCGTCATCATTACAGGTGCTTTGAATGTAACGAGGAGCTCTCCACTCACTGCAACAAAAAGGCTTTGGCTCAGACCCTCGACTTTTTACAGAAACACTCAGTCAAGACAGCGTCTGGTAAGCTGAAACGGCTCAAAAGGCCTTCAGTATTGTTTTTATTCAGCTCTCTTGCTAAAATGGGATATAACTCCATCTAAGAATCCAACTTTGGTCAGTCAAGCAAGCTTTGCTTCCGTTTCAACCTTAACAAACAGAACTGGAAGCCAGAGTTCTGTTCAAATTTTCCCAGAAGACGATGGTGGGATTGAACTGTACGGATCCAGGACAGGTTCACAAAATGTCCTGATATTCAACCAAGTAGAAACGTGGCTAGAAAGTGTCAAAATCCAACATTCCTGGACATGGTAGTAATGCACCTGCTCCCCCTTGTGGCAGATCTTCAGAAGCATCTTCACTATTTCACAAGACTGGACAGTGTTTTTTCAACCAGTAGGGTTCATTTGTGTGTTTTTCATTGACACTGAGTGTGATTAGAATCACTATAGATTGTAGATGGTTGTATTCAGGGCTGGATTGGGACAAAAAAATCAGTCCGGGCATTTTGAGCCAAGACCGGTCCATGAGCTATGGAGGAAAAAGAAAAGAAAGAAAGAAAACAATCTTTTCTATAGCGCCTCTCAAGATAAAAATCATGAGGAGCTTCACAAAGCAAAACATTTAAAATACAAAAATATTTTTTCAATTGTTAAAAAATATGTTTTAAATTACAAAAAAATAAAAATCGTGATTAAAAAAATGTAAGGAAAGGGAGAGAGAACATGAAAGAGGGAAATCTGTGGATTCCGGGAAAGGTGGAATGGGTAGAAAGAGCAGAATAAGGAGAGGGTGGTGATGAAGGTCACGCCAAAGCCAGCCTGAACAGATGTTTTCAGCTGCTTTTTAAAGGAGTCCACTGATCTCAGGCTCAGGGGGAGAGAGTTCCAGAGTCTGGAGGCCACAGCATTCAAATGATCTGTCACCTTTGGTCTTTAACCTGGTGTGCTGCACAACCAGTAGTAGCTAGTTTGGTCACTGGACCTCAGGGACCTGCTGGGGGTGTAGGGACTGAGAAGATCACCGATGTGTGATGGTGCTTGTCCATGCAAGGCCCTAAAACCAGAACCAGGCCCTGAAGTTGACAGGCAGCCAGTGAAACTGGAGGAGAAGCGGGAGGAGCAATCAAGCCTCTTTCTCTTCCTCAGCTCTCTAACCCTGGTACATACACGCGCACACACACAGCAGCCTTTAACCACTACAGTCAGCAGATTAATAGAAGCCTTCTCAATAACGTAGACTTTAAGTGCGTGTCTTCTGCACAGGCAGGGCTTTGATCATCCAGTTCCCTCATTCTTTTCTCAAAGGGACATTTTCAGATCATTTTTTGTTGATGAGCTGATGGATGGGCCGGACCGGAACCGCTGAGAATACCACTGCAGTAACTGGATTTGGGTTTTAAAAATAACCCAAGGAAGTTTTGTGTTGTGTACAGTGGCCTCTCCCTTTCCTTTTCTTGTTGTGCTCTGAAACTTTTTGCTAGATGACATTTATAAATTAGGTGCAGGTTTAGGGAGGGCTGGTACCATGACTAAAATAGATGGTGGAGGTGAGGGATATAAATGTCAGGTAGTATCAGCTTGGTGGTGTAACGGTTTTACTACAAGACTGAGCACGAATGTTCTATAATTTTATTTATCGTGGTAGGGGCTGTGGGTCGGCAGCACCACTCTCTGGGTTGGCTGCACCGACAGACCCCATGCGACTGGGTCCGGACTGGCCAATTAGACATCATCCAAATCTAATGGGCTGACCAAAAAAAAAACTGAAGACCTGGACAGTCCAAGATTTCCGTCAGCCCACCAATGGCTAGTCCAGCAGTGGTTGGATTCAACCACCATGCTTAATATTTTCAGTGTGTTGTCCTTTTCACCTCACTCAGGCCACCTGAGTCCTCCTCACTCAGTCAACCATCTAAATATGTCCCCTCTCAATCCTCTCATGTACTCTCACACACCTTCTGTTTCTGCCTCCTCTGATGTGTGTTGGCATGCTGAGAGCCCCCCCTTCCCCCATTAGACTGTAGCTTATCAGGATGGTGGGCATCAACAGTTTTGGTCTCACTGTCTGTCCCAGTGTAGCCCACTGGCCGGTGCCCAGTGGCCAGAGGCCAGTCACCCAGTCAGGCTGGTCCCCCATGTTTGCCAGAACTAAAGAACCACAGCACTGACTGCAGCGTCCCCCACCCCACCCACCTTGTACAACGCATGACTGCACATATTAGAGGAATTAGGCGCTTGAGTGATGCTTCCCGCCTGGGTTCCCTGAAGAACATGAGCAGCTGTGTTCAGTCCAACCTCTGCTCTGTCGTTTTTTTGTCTTCATTGCTATCTGTTTCTGTCTCAGGCTTTTACCATTGAGCTGCTGTGTGTCTCACCACCTCTGTGCCTGTGAGCTGCACTAGTGGGATCCTGGGTCTTCAACAAGTCAGAGCTATTGGACTCTAACAGCTGGAGTGCTCAAACCCTCAGCGGACCCACACGTGTACGGAAAGGCAGAACAGAAAAGATTCAAAACAATTTAAAAACAAAAAGTTAGTTTTGTGCACTGAATTCTAATTGGACAGGGCTCTTGTCAAAGACCAGCTTTATTTTTCAAATACCTTTTTTATTCTTTCTTTTTTTTTAATTTCTTTACTTTTTTACCAAAGGATTTCTCAGGGTAAATATTTCTCTCTTGAAACTGTGAACTTTTAAAGTCACTCATAGCTGTTTGTTGGGACAGAGATTTTATGGTAGAAGAAATTAGAACAGAAATAGAAAATCTTGCAGCTGGTCTTGAGTAATGTGTCCTCTGTGTTTTGGTGTGTCTGTTGAGAGGCCCGGTGATGTTGGGCAGAGATCCACTTTCTGTGGGGGCTAACCCACCAAGGGTGGAAATGTTTACTTACATCTATCCTACATATTCCCTCTTTAACTTACCTGTCACCTTCCCCTCCAGCCAGTTGTTCCACACCGGTCAGTAAATGGTAATAGAGGCACCCTGCTATTGTTGCAGCAGAGTAAGAGAGTTGCTGCCGGTTAAGGAGCTTGTGAAATTGCATTTCAGCTTGAAGGCCAGGTTTTCTTAAGACGCTGCTGTTGTGTTTTCCTATAGACCTCAAGCACAAAAGAGGCATGGCCAGGTTTTTTTTCTTTCTTTTCCTAGAATCTATAATAATTTAGCACAACAACAGCTCTGGGAAGAAAGGAAGTCGATTAACTGTCCTTTCTCACCATCAAGGCCTTCAGCTGAAGTGAGTCCCAGTAAAAAGTGAATTGACCTCAGCGAGCCAGGCTCCAGCTTGTTACACAGCTGGGGAGTCTTTGTTCAGTAAATTAAAATCTTGTTGCTGAAAGGACATTGCAGCTTGTTTCACATTGAAATTTGACAATTCTTTCTTGTTTTTAATTTGTTTTTATCATTGTGGTGCATGGATACGCATGTGATTATGCTGTGTAAGTGCCCTTTTTTTGGCATCGTTCTGCAGCTCTGCATCAGAGAATATTACCAAATCTGTGTTCCGTTAAAATGTAATACAATCTAGCTCAGTTTCTGGATTCATTTAAACAATAAAGATTAAACATGTGAATACACATTGAGATCATGGTGACTTCATTCTGTCTACAAATAAATCATTTTATTTTTAACTAGAAGTGGACCAATATGAGTTTTTCTGTTGCCGATGCTGATATGTAGAGATGTGTTCATTCTATATGTGCTTCAGATTTTTTTGGTGGGGGGTCTATTTTCATGGCAGCTGTACAGTGGCGCAATGGTTAGTGCTGTTGCCCTGCAGCAAGAAGGTCCTGGATTCACATCCCAGCCAGCAAAGAGTTTGCATGTTTATGTTTATTCATTTAGCAGACGCTTTTATCCAAAGCGACTTACAATTTATAACCCATAGGGCATGCTGTGATCTGTGGGGGAATCCGGAGTACCCGGAGGAAACCCACGCATGCATGGGGAAAACACACAACTCCACGCAGAAAGGCCGCAGCCGAGCAGAGTTTCGAACCTGCAACCTTCGTGCTGCGAGGCAACAGTGCTAACCACTGCGCCACCATGCAGCCCCATGTTCTCCCTGTGCATGCGTGGGTTCTCTCCGGGTACTCCGGCTTCCTCCCACAGTCCAAAAATATGGGTGTCAGGTTGATTGGTTTGTCTAAAGTGCATAGTAGTTTGTCCTGTGTGTCTCTGTTTTCCTGCAATGGACTGGCAACCTGTCCAGGTTGTACCCCACCTGTTTGCCTGTTGACTGCTGGAGATTGGCACCAGTCGGAGTATATACAGTGAGGAACATAAGTATTTGAACACCTTGCAAGTTCTCCCACTTAAAAACCATGAAATTCACATTGTAGGTACATTCCCACTGTGAGAGACAGAATGTAAAAAAAATTAATCAGGAAATCACATTGTATGATTTGTAAAGAATTTATTTGTTTTGCACTGCTGGACATAAGTATTTGAACACCTGGCAATCAGCAAGAATTCTGTCTCTCAAAGACCTGTTACTCTGCCTTTATGAAGTCCACTTCTACCCCAATTAGTAATCTTAATTAGTAGCACCAGTCTGAGACCTTTAAAGACACCTATCTACCCCACAGTCAGTCAGACTCCCAACTACGTGGGCAAGACCAAAGAGCTGTCAAAAGAAACCAGAGACGAAATCGTGGACCTCCACAAGACTGGAAAGGGCTACGGGGAAATTGCCAAGAAACTTAGTGAAAATAGATCAACTGTTGAAGCAATTGTCAGAAAATGGAAGAGGCTAAAGACGACTGTCAGTCTCCCTCGGACTGGGGCTCCATGCAAGATCTCATCTCGTGGGGTATCAGATGATAAGAAAGGTGAGGAATCAGCCCAGAACCACACGGGAGGAGCTGGTCAATGACGTGAAGAGAGCTGGGACCACAGTTTCAAAGGTCACTGTTGGTAGAACACTATGCCGTCATGGTTTCAACTCACGCATTGCACGACAGGTTCCCCTGCTCAAGTCATCACATGTCCAGGCCCGTCTGCAGTTTGCCAATGACCATCTGGAT